AAACTCAAAAAATATAATTTATAATATAGTTATAAATTATATTTTTGTCAAATAATAATTTCCGTGGTCAAATATCGAGTGCACCTGCTTCCCGACCAAGCCTATATATATGTATATATGTATATATATATATATATATATATATATATATATATATATATATATATATATATATATATATATATATATATATAAAATATATATATATATATATATATATATATATATATATATATATATATATATATATATATATATATATATATATATATATGTATATATATGTATATATATATATATATATATATATATATATATATATATATTTATACATATGTATATATATATATATATATATACATATATATATATTTATATATATATATATATATATATATATATATTTGGTTTAAAGTTACTTATATTATATACATATATACATATATATATATATATATATATATATATATATATATATATATATATATATATATATATATATATATATATATATATATATATATATATATATATATATATATATATATATATATATATATATATATATATATATATATATATTTATATATACTAGCTGGTAGGACTCGTACAATACGGGTCGTGCCAAGTCTAATCCACGCCCGACAATTTTTTAATTTGTTCCTTAGTCTTTGTGTCTTATTTAGTAAACGGGATTTATTTAGTAAACGGGAAAAAATAAATCAGTTTAAAGTTTTCGTAGATGGTAAAATACGAACTTTAATTGCAATTACAATTAAATTTCGCATTTTACCACCTACGAGATGGTAAAATGCGAACTCTTAAGAAAATGAAATCGAACTTTAATTGCTCGTTAAGGTATTGTTACTTTAAAAGAAAAGTCTAATTTAAATAAAATGTATCGAGTAACAATTAAAAATCGATGAAGATGTTTTCAATATTATGACTGTTGTGGTCATTAAAATGTTTTGGTTCGCTAAAAAGTATACAGTTTGCATTTTACTGACTACCTACAGTTCTTGATTTATAATTTACTGTTCTTTAGAGCAAATTAATATTTTTACTTATTTCATTATTACTTATTTACTTTATTATTTTCTACATAATAAAAGTATCTTTAGCATTTAACACAGTTGCGTGAAACTTAGGCTAAGATAATATTTAATTTCTCTCATAAGGATTTATTTAAAATGCAAATTTGGACATTAAAAATGGACCCAAGAGACCTAGTTATTTCAAATAAGTTAGCTTTATCTTTTTGATATATTGTATAAAAGCTTTCCCAGTTGGCAAGAACGTAAAAAAGACGTTTAAAACGTCTTTTACACGTATTTTTTATGTCCGATGCCCACTGGGTTTCTGTAAAAAAACTTTTAAATTATTTATATAATTATAAAAAAATTATATAATTGTTGAAATTTATTAACAATTATACTGTTTTAATTGCGGAATTAGTTGTAGTGACCCGTATGATATGGGTCCTATTTCCAAACTTGTTCTTAGTTTTATCTCTATACCTAATGTAAACAGCAATAAATAAGTCGATTTGAAGTTATTGGTTAACAATTGACTGAATATACTTTAGAAAGAGTACTTATTTACTTAATGTACTCCATTTTATACATAAAAGGATCTTTAACATAATAGAGACAGTTGCGTAAAAATTCTTTAGGTGTTTTAGAAAACTTAAACTATAATCAAGATTTTACCCTCTTACCAAGATTTATTTAAAAAACAAATATGGATATTAGAAAACGGGCCTAATAGACTTGTTATTCTAAATAAATTAGCTTTTTCTGATTAATACTTTTTATTAAAATGTTACTGAAAAAAAAAAAAAACTGTTAACAAATTCAGTCAATTAAGCTGTTTTTACATCCGAAGTTATTAAACATGTTGTTTGTGCTAATCGATACTTAATGCAAATTGAGACTTCGAGTACAAAATATAATTTTAAGTATAAATGATTTTTATTCATAAAAAGTAAGCTTTAATAATAAAAAGTAACAAAAATAAAAAAAAACAATGCATAACTGATCAATATATCCATTTAAAACAATAAACTTAAAAATAAAAAAATATAGATATTTATTTAAGAAACAAAAAATATTTTTTTTGAGATAAAAATATAAACTTTAAAAAAAATTACAAAAAAAAATATTATACTTAACAAAAAGTAACAAAAATACTTAAAAAACAATTTAAATTGAAACGTTGTTTCATTATTATTAGGCTTTGAGTAAGCCATAATCAAGTCAGCCATAAGAAAAGAAACTCGACCTAAAAATAGAACAAAATTATTTTAAACATAATACACATTAATTACAAACTAATGTGTCATGCAATCAATTAATTTTTTTGAAAATTCAAAAATGCGAATAAGTGGATAAGAAACTTACTTTTTTTTTTTTTATAACCCTGACAGACTAAGTCTATTAGCATAAAACATCACAACAATTAATTAAATAACAGAACATGTTAAAGTAAACTCTAGATAACC